GAAAATCGAACCTTCCTGCTAATTCTCAGATCCGAAAATGCCAGCCTTCAATGGTCGATTCAAGCCAATAAAAATCCAACATTTAACTCAGTTGAGTTTACTCGCTTTTATAGGGGATTAAGGGGGTGTAACTGCCCTCGAAATCCGCTCCTAAGTGGGTGACAATCCCTCAGAACGTGGGATAACGGTTTTGAGGCCGTTCGGCTTGTGTTTGAACAAGTCAAAACGCCCAATCTGGCGTTCAGAACCCAACTTTGCCTCTTAGAATTGAGACGCGAAGTTGGGTGTTGGCTGAACATTAATGAACGCGAGGGTCGCTCGTGTTTTGGTTTGTTGTAGCTTAGAAACGCGGGGGTCGGTGTTGGCTGGACCCCTACGAACGCGAGGGTCGCTCACGTTTAGCTTGTAGCTTGGAGACGCGGGGGTCAGTGTTGGTTGGACCCCTACGAACGCGAGGGTCGCTCACGTTTCGCTTGTTGTAACGCGGGTCCGACTCCAGCGTTTTGATGTTGTAACGCGGGTTCAACCCTGGCGTTTTGATGTTGATACACGGGGAGGACCTCGCGTCTTGCCTTGCAGAGATTATCACCAAGTAATCTCTTTTTGTCATAGCGTTACAAAGATCATTGTCTTGTAATCTTCGTCTTGGCTCCTTGAGAATATGAGAGTCGTCAGATTGTAACTCCCGATGTTGATTGTGAAGGCTGTTGAAGTAGAGCTCTCATCGGTTGTCGTGAAGGTCGTCAGATTGTAACCTTCAGCGATCTACGTAAAAGTCTTCAAATTGTAGTCTTCTGGAAGTCGTCAGATTGTAACTTCCATCATCAGTGTTTGATGGGGGATAAGCTATCTATTGTGGTTTTTAGACAGCCTACAGTACTCTTCTAACTTATAGGGATATATCATGCAGATATTTAGTGCTTCATATAGTGATAGTACTCTTCTAACTAGTAGTGATATATTTGTTAGATTTTTTTGGTCAAAACCGCTTTACAAAATGAGTTTTTAAACTATATATATATATATTAACTGCAAGTACTTTTCATAAATGCTTAGTGGCCTAGTGGAAAGTTAAAGTTTTGATGTTTCAAAAGGTCCTCTGTTCGAGGCTTGCCAACGGCAAGCCGAGAAGTATTTTATTTTAATTAATCACTCATAAGTTTTAATGGGTCGTGGGTTGTGGGCCGTGGGCCAATGGGCCGGAGATTGGGGCTAATCGGGTTGAGACGCTAAGTGGCGCTTTGTTAGGCGCACAGGAGTTACTGCATGCAGCAGTTACAACGGCATTTAGAGCAATTTAATGCATTAATGTTACAATCATAATTGCCATTGTGAATTGTAACAGTCACATTAATTGAGGGTGACTCTTGAACTGGTCTTAGAGGCCTATAAATAGCACCTCTTGGGCAGCTCTCGGAGTTTGCTAGAGAACTTGGAATACGAACGTCGGATCAAGGAGATCTTAACGTTGTTGCTGCTGTTGTGCTGCTGCTGCAGAAACTGTTCCTGTAGGAACTTGCCCTGAAACCGAAAGGTTTTGAACCGAAAGGTTCTGAGATCGAGGAGATCTTTGCACCTGTAGGAACTTGCCCTGAAACCGAAAGGTTTTGAACCGAAAGGTTCTGAGATCGAGGAGATCTTTGCATTGATCGAAAGGTCTTATAGATCGAGGAGATCTTGACAGTACTGGGTTGGTGCACACCAGAGTACTGTACTGCTGTTCCTGGAAGCAGTTTAACCTTGGAATCCTTGCACCGGAGTAGGCCAAATATTGTTTTAAGCACAGCGTTTCACAAACGCACAGCAGTGAACTAAAAAAATTTAAAATTACAACACATCAAAATTTCTGTGTTTCATTCCAGATTTAACCACAATTTCCAACAATATTCACACATTAAGTGCTTCATGGATTGATAGTACTCGTCTAACTTGATCAAGGGAAAATTGATCAGTTAACAATCCTTGTAGTTAGAAGAGAACGATCATTAGTGCATAGGGTTTTCAGTGTAACATATAAATGTTTAATTAAACTTGAAGTTTATACTAGTTATATTTGTTTTCTTGACGAGTGTGTTCTGATCTCTCTGAGTACGCATCTAATTAATCTTTCATTAAATCATTTGGTTTTAGAAAAAAGAATATAAGTGTTCCCATTACGTTATATCGAACTCAAGATTTTCACTCAGGCAAATGAAAACTCTACCATCTCATAATTGCTTAGTGCAATGATGACCTATATATGTTAAGACGACGAGCAAAAGAATTTAGATTCTCTCTAAAAGTAGTGGAGAGATCACTACTATAGCATAATTGTTGATTTGTTTACTTCACGGCTATGATTTGATTTTAAGTGCTTAATACAGCTGTAATTTGTAAATCGATAACTATAAGTGTAACTATATTTACCTCAGCTACTGCAAAAGACAATATATAAAAAAAATAACATAAGTAGGTACAACTATATCCAACTTTTCTTAAGTGGTATTGTAGTAGTGATTTTTCCATGTGCGCCTTTTGCTACAAGAACAACTCACAATTATCATGGGAAAATATTTCCATCTACTTATGCTATAATTTCTCTCGTACATTTTCATGGATTCTCCTTAATTATTTTGTTACCGGGAACATTTTGACTAAGAGTCTGTTTGGTAGCTTGTAATTGCATTTGATTACAACACGGTTTTTTTTTTTTCCAGTTTCAGGTTTTCGTTTCGTTGCAGCTACTCGTGATAGTTAAAAACGAATCGTTGTGGCGTAATTTTAGGTGCATATTAAATATTTAGTTGCAAATAATGAGCTGCATGCAAGTAGCAGTTGTAATGTACCAGAAGGCCCAAATTAAGCCTACAATTACAACTAAATAACGAGTCATCTGCGGTTGCAATTGTATTTATCTACTGCAAATTGCAAACTTGACAGAAATTCCACCGGGACCTCCCTCCGACGCCTGTCTACGCCTTCGGCACCTCCAAGGCCACGGCCACCGTCCCTGGCCCCACCATCGAATCGATCCAGGGCGTCGCCACCCACATCACGTGGGAGAACCACCTCCCCTCCCGCCACATCCTCCCCTTCGACCGCACAATCCTGATTGCCAACCCCGAGGGTGGAGGCATCCCCACCGTCGTCCACCTGCATGGCGGAGTTCATCCTCCGGCGGGCGATGGCAATCCTCGAGCATGGTTTACGTCTGGGTTTAAATCGAAGGGGCCAGCTTTCGTGTCTCCCACTTCTGTTTATCCCAACGTTCAGGAGCCGGGAAATCTATGGTATGATTTAAATTGTTTCGTTTAAATTAAAATTAGTTTAAGGGTTAATTCATTCCACTGTTATTATGAACTTCTACCTCTGGGTTAAATTTTCTTGACTATTTAACCCTCAGATGGACTCGCTAATTTCACACAAAGGCATTATTTGTCATATTTCATCTAGGATAAAAGGGTTTTAAAAAAAACGGGGGGTCTATTCGCAACAATGAAAACGATAGGAATGGTAAGTTGAACAATGATACCACTCAAAATCCGAACAATCTAATTACCCTCGTTCCTCATCATAGGTATCACGACCATGCAATGGGCCTGACCAGAGTAAACATCCTGGCCGGCCTGCTCGGCTCCTACGCCATCCGAAACCCCTCCGTCGAGTCTGCCCTCGGCCTCCCCTCCGGCCCTGACCTCGACCGCACCCTCATCGTCTTCGACCGCTCATTCCGCACCGATGGCTCCCTCTTCCTCAACGCCACTGGCAACAACCCCTCCATCCACCCTCAATGGCAGCCCGAGTACTTCGGCGACGCCATCATCGTCAACGGGAAAGCCTGGCCGTACCTCAAGGTCGCACGTCGCAGGTATCGGTTTCGCATCATCAACGCGAGCAACGCGCGGTACTTTAGGTTCTTCTTCGATAACGGTCTCCAGTTCGTGCACATTGGGTCGGATTCCATGTACTTGCACCAGACTGTCACTTCGACGAACTTCCTCCTTGCTGCGTCAGAGACTGCAGATGTCATTGTCGATTTCTCAAAATCGACAAAAGATACGGCTATCCTTTCAAACAATGCTGCGTATCCTTATCCGTCTGGTGATCCCACCGATGAATTCAATGGTAAGCTCATAAATCCCACCGATGAATTCAAAAAAAAATCGATCCTCCATGTAAATTAACAATTATCATAACCTTCATTTTGTTCGAATCAGGCAAAGTGATGAAGTTCATAATTGACAAAAAGAAGGCAAAGGACGATACAAGAATCCCGAAAAGGCTGATGCGGTACCCTCCACCTGCCGTGCACCGCGCAGTAGAAACCCGATACATCACAATGTATGAGTACACGAGCAAAACAGACGAGCCGACGCACTTCTCACTGAACAACAAAACCTATGAGGACCCGATCACTGAGAAACCAAAATCCGGTACCAGCGAAATCTGGCACGTGATCAATCTCACGGATGACAATCACCCGTTGCACGTGCATCTAGGGCTCTTCACGGTCCTCGATCAACAAGAAATCTTGGACCTCGACGAGTTTAAGGATTGCATGGAGAAGAAGAACAACGCGAATGCGTGCAGATGGAAGGAACACGTTAAGAGGAAGAGGGTGCAGGTGCCCAAGTACGAGAGAGGGTGGAAGAATGTGTTCAAGATGATGCCGGGTTATGTCACGAGGATATTGGTTCGGTTTTCGATGTTTGGGTCGTCGGATGCGGAGGCGGGTTACCCGTTTAACGCAACAGGCGAACCCGGTTACGTTTACCATTGCCATGTAAGTTTCTTGATTTCAGATTTGAAGGTTTACAATAACTAGGGAAAACTAATGTTTGGCAATCTTTTTGATGGCTTGCAGATATTGGATCATGAGGACAATGTGATGATGAGGCCCTTTATGCTTGTGCCTTAAAGAGGATAAAAAGTTCAGAGAGTAAGCAAAGTGAGCTACACGAGTGATACTAGTGGCTGAGTCCTGTACATTGAAAAAAATCTCATTGTTGCAATTTGGTTTTGGCTTGTTTTGAATTTTGTTTGAATAAAGAATACAAGGATTCAACGGAGGTAAAGAATATTTTGCTACCTTGTGCAAGGGTCAATTTCAGAGAACAGATTCATCATTTAAGGTTTGTTGATGAAACTTGCAAGAGCATTAAACATACATCTTTAATTTATACATACCCTACTGAATTTCCCCAGTCCTGATTCAAATAAATTAATTCATAATAATATCAAGTTCAACATGAGCAGACCATGCAAAAGTCAATTTCAGAGAACATATTTATCATTTAAATTTTGTTGAGGGAATTTGCAAGAGCAGTAAATATATAACTTTATACATACCCTACTGAATTTCCCCATTACCGATTCAAATAAAGTAATTCCAAATAATACCATGTTCAACATGAGCAGAGCATCACCACTATTTTGAATATACAATAACACCTCCCGCTATAAAAACAAAGCAAGAAATCAGAGATAGAAATATTTATTTCTCATAGGCTGAACCAATCATAAGATTAATCAATATCTAGCCAATCACGATAAGCTAATCGTTCAGAAAAACATCTGAGACCATTAACAAATGGTGAAGCTTTTATTGGTAGATATATTGGTGTACAAATACATAATGAAAAGAAAATGAAACTTTATTTGTACTTCTCAGCTTTGTATTCAACAACTGGGTTCCGGATGTCATCCTGGCTCTGAATTAATCGAATCTCTAGACTGCCCGACTGAGGATCGTAGCCTGCCTTTTTATAGTCATCAACTGTTCTTCGTAGGAGAGCCTGCATAAATCAATTGAAGCAATGTATATTTATGATCCAATGGGGGAAAAATCCTATAAAAAGGGAGGAAGTAGAACATACGATATACATCCAACTATTCATTCTTAATCAGTGGTATCAGTAGATGATATCAGTGTAATCAGAATATTGTACCAGTGCATCGCCAATTTTAAAATGATGCTGACACATCACAATCTTCTTCCCCATATGATTTTCTATAAGAGGCTCTCTATGTGAAAATTTCCTGATCTGATGGCTACGAATTAAGTATTGGGACGTGACACCATCCTATGAGAAAATGATGATAATATCATCCAACTTTTTGACTCATACGTCATAAAATTACCACATTTAATAGTGTAGAAAACGTGAGGGCTAGATTCTCTCTCCTCTAAAAGGAAGATGAATCCATCTCCAAACTAGTTGTTTTAACACTTTCTGGCACCATGATCACTATTGCAGTCTCTGCATAGTTCAATAATTCTTTTCCTTTTGGCAAATTGTTTTTGAAGGTCCTGAAATATCCTCGATTAATTCTGCTAAAACTTTTTAATTTTTTTGTACAATTTTGGTGCACTTTTCCAATGACTATTGAAGAGTATTTTAGAGATTCTATATACCTGCTATGCTAAATGCTGAATGGCTTAACAAAATGTGCTTAACTAATAAAAAATTAATTGAACAATACAAAAATGTAAAAAAAAAACCAAATAAAAAACAAAGAGCGAACCACCTTAGGAAAATTCTGAAATTTGTGTGCATGTGAATTCTGTGACGTTAGTTAAGTTTGTTTAAATGCCATATCACCAAACTGTAGTAATCATGTTAAAGGAGCCTCCAAGTTGTATCATCATTCGATTCAATCATAACATCCAGCCGTTTTTTAATGACTGAGTACAATTTTCTATGATCTGCAAAATAGACAATAAAACGAAACCTGCAAACTTGATACTGCAAGCTCCGCTGCTTTCTCGAGTTCTTCTGGGTATTTCTAGAAAAGCAACAATAAACTTAATTGGGTTCATGTTTATAAGGAAAGAAATCAGAAATATGAGCTACTAATAGCTAAAAACGGAACCTCAAAGCCTTACATTGCTCCATCCTAATAATAGTGCAGTCGTCAAATCACCAGTTCCCTGCAACATGAACCCAATTTTTTCAAATAAGATAAGGTTGATAAGACTAATAAGAAAGTATAACTGATTACATTTTCAGATAAAACTAATAATAAAACATAAAAATATCCTGAGCAGACATGAGGAAAATGCTATATTAACAAATCATAAACACCTAGCAAACGTAAAAATGCGATATTAACAGATCCAAACACCTTGACCTCGCAAACATGATAATGCTATATTGACAGATCTTAACACCTTGCGAACATGTGAGTTCCTTAGTAAACTTGTATTAGTTAAGGTATTCAATTAGATTTTTCAAATTTTGTTTCATTTGGTTAACTGATTAGAAGTTCTTCTTATTGTTCTTCTTCTTTTCTTTCTTTCTTTCTTTCTTTTTTTTTATTTTTTTTATTTATTTTTTGTTTCTAATTGAACATATCCTGGAAGTTTGATATGTATCACATATATAGGCACATGCATCACATACACATCCAGAGGCACACTGTTGCCATTTATTCCAGGGGCAGACCTACATTCGGCAAAGCGGTGTCACGTGATGCCATTTAGCCAAAGTACCCAAACCGACCCCAGTTAAAATTCTCCCCCAATCGCTAAAAATCCCCCCAAACCCCTGTCCATTCACTTTTTCCCCTCCTCTGCCAGAGAAAGATGTATTTGCTTGTGAAGATGACGTTGATTTTATCCCTGGCTACAAAAACTGTGAAAAGAGGTTTTTCTGCAATTAAGTTTGTAAATATGATGATGGGCTCAATGATTGTTTAGTGACAATATATCGAGGAAGATGTATATGACAGTGCTTCTAATAATGGATTATCATGTGTTTTTTTCCAATATATGAAACTCGTCGTGGACAATTGTAATTTTTTTATATTATTAATCACGTCATGAGACCACTTTCTAGAAATCTTGGATCTGCCATTGGTTGTCTAGACAATAAGGTTAATCATAATCCAAAACTCATCAAAGATACAAGACAATCATATTCATTTTGCAAATTAATCAACTTTAATACATCATGAAGGGGATGTGGAAAGGCAACCAGACACACAAGGTTATTGATAGAAAGGAATAAGAAAAGGCACTTTTGTCCGTCAACCCAAAGTTTTCTCTCACTTACTTAATAACTCACCCACTTTCATAAACATCCATACACCCAACGTACCGCATCTAACTTATTTTTAACCCAACATACCCTCATGAACTCTCAAACTTTATACTCCTAAAAGAAAATCTAAAATCTCTCTTTCCTGTCTTCTTCTAAACGGCGATCACGCTCCACTCCCATTGCATTAAGGGCGATGGTGGGAGAAATTTATTTTCACGCGATGCTCCTTTCACTCTCCAAACTCCAATTTGGCATATTCATCTTCTTCAATTAATCTCTTCTGTCTTTCCTCCATTAATTTGCTCTTTCTTCCTTAAAAAATCTCTCTCCATTGATATCTCTCCTTACAAAAGACATTAATTTAATTATAATGTGGTTTTTATTTGCAATTATTAAATATTTCTTTTGTAGTCCCAGCACAAATAAAGAGCTATACCATACCAATGAAGAAAAACGCTTTAGTTGTAAAGAGTTATACTTCTGTATATGCTACTATACATTGCTCATAAGATGCCCAAAAGAAGTTATGTTTTCAATGAAGTGTTTTACTTCACTCAGTAAAAATTAATAGCTATTAAGCTTTCATATCTTGATGTTAATTGGTCCAGTGGTTATGAAATTTTCCTGTATCTTTTTCCAACAACTTTTTTGACAATATACCACACGCTACTAATTTCTTTCATGTAGTCCCAGAATCAATAAAGAGCTATACTATAACGATTAAAAAAAAATACTTCAGTCATAAAAAACTATACTTCTTTATAAGGTGTTATACTTTTTCATAAAAAACTATGTTTTGTGTAAAGTGCTATACTTTGGTCAGTCAAAAATTAATAGTTCTGGGTTTAGCGTTTTATGAAATGAAGGAAGAGAGAAAGGGAGAAAAGCGTTTGGTTTATTTAGGGAAGAAAGGAAATTTGGGATTTGAGAATTTTTTGGGAAATGCAATATAAAAGTTGAGGGTGTTATATAGGTTGGGTTTATAAATAAGTCACATAGAATACTCTAGGTGTATGGGCGTTTATGGAAGTATGTGGCTTTTAACATAAGTGGGAGTAAAACTTTGGGCTGAAAAACAAAAACTCCATAAGAAAAATATTGCCTGCAATTGGAAGAAATTGTATTTAGTGCTTCTGCTCAACAACATCCTAAATAAAGGAAGAAATAAGCAACTTAGAAAGTTATGTAAATGCAGACCCTCAGCTTTCTTTCTTAGCGCTTCTTTTATTTAACAATGCTGTTACAAAAAGCAACTCAATACAATCCCACAAGAATATTAAACAATTTAGGCAGGAAGTCTCATGGTAAGGACTGCTTGGATATAGAACTACATATAGGAACTTTGCTCTAAAAAGAACAAGAACTGCGCACTAAAGGACTAAGAACTGAGAATGACCTACTATAAATTGGACGCTGATCATTATTCTCTAATACATGATAGTGCTATCTTTTATATTAAGCATTAAAGCAGACCTTATATATAGGTAACTACAATATTGTCAGTAAAACAGTAAAAGAAAGAGAACAGAGCTTATTCATCCAACACTCCTATAACACAACAACAACAACGATAATAACTGCTCAACTGAGCTAGATAAAACTGTAAACTAATCTAACACCATACAACCTTTTGAAGAATCTCCGGCAGTACCATCTTGCGGAGATTAGAATGAGATTGAATGAGCAATTCTAACTGAAATGAATTTTCCATCACTATAATCATCTAAAACTACTTACTCAAATGTATGTGTAACTTAAGTACCATCTTGCGGAGATTAGAACGAGATTGAATGAGCAATTCTAACTGAAATGAATTTTCCATCACTATAATCATCTAAAACTACTTACTCTAATTAATGTTTGTGTAACTTAAATTAATAAGTTCACATTCATCTATAAATAATCGAAAATTCTAGCACTGGGAGATCCAATGAAGATGATCATCAGAGGCACATCCTGAATTTTTGGAACTCACCTAACATGATGGAGGAAGAATGGTTTTCCAAAGAATGTTGTTGTTATTTTTAAAAAAAATGGCAAACGCCTCCACACAGCAGCAGCAGCAACTGTGAGCGTTCCATAGACTAGTTTTATATATCAACTATTGGGAGTCAAAGGTGTGCTTAGCCTATGGTTAGCGTTCAGGACATCAGATGTCCAAAAGACAAGACTTGGGGGACCAAATTAATTATGTATCAATATACAAAGAGAACATAAACTGCATTTAGTGCACACCTCTTCAAGCCTGTACAGATTGCAGACCACGGACGTAAACCAAACAATAAAAACAATAGAGATTGATGATCATGAGTAATGAACAAACCCATGCACAACTCTTCAGAACGTCAAGCAAGCATGTCTATAAAGAAACTAAGAAAATTAAGAATAATGTTGTAATATAAGCAATCGATCATGGCAAAAGCAGCTCTGCTCATTAAGAGTTATTCACACTCAACTTTCAACACAAAATAAATTAAAGCTTGTCTATCAAATAAGCTGGATCATGCTACACCTGATCCTGAATTGTTTAAGCTAAATAAGCTTGTCTGCCAATGTATGGTCATCAGGTAAATCATACTTGGTAAATACCAGGTCTAAACCTAATCTGCTACCAATTTGTGCATTGTATTGTGACAAGACCAATAATAATGAGGCTCACGCAACAGCTTGTTTCACTATGTTGAAAAAAGTTACTTATAATAGTTGGTACATTCAAACCAGTAAAGCATCATTTGTGGCTTAATAGTCATTACTTGGTAGCAGGAAGCTTCCACTAATAAAAGAACATGAACAAGATCGTGTCATTTATAAAAATAATTCTAACAGACGGTTACTTGAAAATATTTATGATATTGAGTAAAGGTAGCGTTCTGGGCTCAATGTTGACCTCTATTTGTTCATCATCATTTTGCATAAACAAGCTTAAACAACCCAAGCATTAAACACATGAAAATAAAAAATATCATGCGAGGACAACTTTCTATTTTATATCCCTGATCAGGAATGTCAGAGAACATCAGATTCATTTTTTATTTAAATAACAAAAATAACCGAGCTATTCCTCCACTGGTTCTATATCACAACATACACTTAGAAGATGTTAACTTCTTGGGACAGGATTTGAGACGCTACTTTGATTCAATGCCAATTCCAGCTAGAAACAACCTGCTATTTGGCAGATGTGCACAGATTTTTGCCGTGACTTGTCCTAACCTTATTTTGTGCTCTGATAAAGAATGGGTTACATATATTACATGATATCTCTTATACAAGATATTTCAAATTGAGTTCTCTGCAGCAAGAATTTCTGACATAACCTCTTCTGTTAACATTCTATCCACCGAACTTGTTTAGAAAATCAGGATTTTTCAAACAAGAAATGCATTTCAATAAAAAAGAAATCTGAAAGTTATGGAACATCTGTAGAGGGAAGTGCATACCGTAAAATAAGCAGGAATTTTGGGTATCACTATCTTAAACTGATCAGGAGGCTGACCCTGCAAAGAAAAATGATTAAGAATATCAACTTTTCCCAAAGTGTCGCAAAGAAAGAGAAATGTTGCACATCAAAACTTTATGTACAAAGCAATGTTTTTTTACAACAAAATCTCAAGATATATTGAGAAACAACAGGAAAATTGAAGGATGATTAGTGCTTGAAAAAAATTTGGAAAGCAATTCATATTTGATGAAGCCACAACAGGAAATAAGATGGAAAAGATTAGGATTTTGACTTCCGCCTAGATCAAAAGCTTCATATGGAATAAGGCTACACAACATTCTTTTTTTTTATTTAAAGGTTTCACATCTAATAGAAAACTAGAGCTTCACACCCAAAATTGCATCACACTGTCTACTAAAAAGAAAATCGAACTTTCTTCCAAAAACTTAGCTTTCATCAGGAACTCCTCTTTCTCATTGAAGAAAGATTATTGTTTTAGCGTACAAAATCACCAATAAATTCCATCATAGTGCATTATTAAGCTTGCTAAAACCAAAGCATAAATCTGAAGAGTACCTTTACTCTTTGATGGCTACCAATAAGAAGAAGGTTACCATCTATATGCAGGCTTGTTATAACCACCTGAAACATGAAAATATTTCAAGATCAGTTCTTCCCAGTTTCCATATGAAAAAAGTGGGTCACCAACTTACAAACTATAAGTATCACATATAATGGCATAATATGGAAAGTGTGAAGCAAACTATATATTTGAAAAACAAGAAGCACTAACCAGGAAATAAAAAGGCATAAAAATCCTAACAGGAAAACACTCTTGTTTCAAAGTTTTGAAATCTCGCTATTGGTATCAGGTACCAATTTTGGTATAGTAAGAAGTTGTGCCTCTTCATGTGATTTTTGGATCTATAGGTGATTAGGTATTGACTGCTAGCATCCATTTTAAAAAGTATTTACAAATTAATTTACATCTAGTAAAGTAGTGCAAACAATTAGAAAGTTTTTCCATGCTTTTTTTACTTTCTTGTTTTTGTTGGTTGATTCCTTAGTGGTTTTTTATGACTCTATCATATATTATATTTGACATCCTTTATTATTTATATAGAATTACCCAAGAACTTGTCATTCAAAACAAAATTACTTCCATTCTTTTTTTGTTACGTCGAATATATATAACAATAGTTTTATATGTTTACTTTTAAGAACCTAATTTACTCGACACCTCATCTAGGCTCTTGTACCTGTGTCCGACACTTTCCATACACCTACACTCCGTGGACACTATTTAAATATATACGTCAGTAATTCATACGTGTACTCAATTATATAATATATGTATTCGCTTAAAACATGTATCCTAAGCTTCTTGGATTTATATCTTGCACTTCACATCCATTTCCTACAGCTAGCTTGACCCCAGTTAGGTTCATTTTAGCTCATGGCCCCATGTCCAGTTTAGAAGTATTACTTTAATGGATCGTCTAAGTATCTAGTTTCAAAATGAGTGGTTTTCCAGTTTATAATCTACTTAATAAAAGAAACATAAAAATGTTATAGGAATTTTAGTTCTTAAAACATGTGAATAGAAAAAGCAATGTCAATCCCATGTAACTTATTAATTTCAATATGTATATATAGTTGTGTCCATGTGTACCCTACCTTTTACAAATTTGTCGTGTCACGCCCTCATACCTGCACCCGCACCCGTGCAACAGATATTTTTTAAGTCATTAACTTATTCGGTTTAAATTTTTATTATACTATCAAATTTCTCTGTTGCGTTGAACTCTCTAAGATGAAAACTTTTCTTGCTATTTTAGATTTTTATATACACGTGCAACAAAGACTCTAGTCCTTAACTTATTCGGTTTAAATTTCTATTATACTATCAAAGTTCTCTGTAACTCTCTAAGATGAAAACTTTTCTTGTTATTTTAGATTTTTATATTATGTGAAAAAAATTCTACTACATTAATTTAATTTTAACTTATTGGAGGATAGTCCTCGACCGAAACTGAAGAAAAGGATCCATGCAGTCTATGAAGCACGGACACGGACACGGCGACACGGACACGACACGGACACGGACACGACAAAATCCAAAAAAATAGGACACGGCGACACGGTTAGATTTTTTTAATATTATTATTATATATAGATCAATATTGAATTAAATTCCTATTATATTTTTATATTTTTTGTTATGTAAAGTGGAGATTATATATAAGAAATTAAAGGAAAGTGTGTGTTGCAGGTGTGAATTAAGACGTCGGGATGACAATGATCTCTTGGAGAATTGAAGGGAAAGTGTGTGTTGCAGGTGTGAATTAAGACGTCGGGATGACAATGATCTCTTGGAGAATTGAAGACAATAATGTTAAAGCGGGATGACAATGATCTCTTGGAGAATTGAAGACAATAATGTTAAAGAAGACAAGAAAGAGAAGATGAAGATATAGAAAAATAGATCAATTTTTTATGTTATATTATGATGTAACATTGGCTTGTATAATCAATGACAAATGTAAATTATGTAACTGATTTGAAGATAACAATAGCAATAACAATAAATTAAAAAATTAATAATAGTAAAACAGTAACTAAAATCATAATTAACAGTAAACTAAAAAATAAAACCCTAATTAATTAACTAATTAATCAGTAAATTAATGGAACACGAACCCTAATTAAGTAACCGTAAATTAACATAAAATAATAAATTAAAATGAAAACAGTAAAATCCTACTATTGTTACAAAAAAAATGACAGGACATTGTATGAATCCTAGTTCTAATTTATATATTATTCTAGCATTTATATGTTATTCTCACATTTTTATTAAAATAAAAAACAAAGAGTTAAAATAAAAACAGAGAGATAAAAACAGAGAGAGAGAGAGAGCGTGCGACTGAAAGAGAGAGGAAGAGAGAGAGAGAGAATGAGAGAGAGAATAACAGAGAGATAAAATAAAAAGAGAGAGTTAAAATAAAAAACAGTAGAGATAGAGAATAAAAGAGAGATAAAAACGTGAGAGAGAGGAATTTTAGAGATCGAAAAAGAGAGAGAGAGAATGAGAGAGGAAGAGATCGGAGAGCGACTGAGAGAGAGATAGAGAGAGAGAGCGCGACTGAAAGAGAGATCGAGAGAGAGAGAGAGAGAGAGAGAGAGACTAACCTTAGGGTTTGGGTTGCTGAGAGGACGACGATCGAGAGAGATGGCTGGCGGCGAGGACGATCGAGGACGACGAGGTCGATCAAGAGAGATGGCGGCGAAATGTCTTCAGTCGGGATCGATCGAGAGAGCAGACGAGCCCATCAGGTAAGTTAAAGCTAGGGTTAGGGTTTGGGTTTCGGGTATTAGGGTTGGGTTTCGGGTTTCGGGTATACAGATCTTTTTTTCCCCTCTTCTCAGTCGTGTCGAAGAGAAACGCCGTGTCGGGCACGTGTCTGGAGC